TAGCACTGAGATAAAGAATCTTAGTATTATTGACCCTGAAATAACCAGTCTGTCTGTTGGAGATTTGGAGAGAGATACCGAGTACAACGTGAAGGTGTTTGCCACAAATGCTGTCTTTGAAGGAGCAGCAGCGGAAAAGACTGTCACGACAAAGACTAACGGTGAGATATCTGTTGATTTTTATTAATAGAGTATTTCAACTTAAAGATATTTACTATCACGCAACAGCTTTACGTGGTATATTTTTTGGATGCAAAGTTTGGATGCAAAGATATCACTAAAAGTATACAGTCTTATTATGTTAATATCAGGTCCTGAAACTTCTAAAAGGGCAATCTCGATGTAAATTTGACAAATAGTGGATATTATATGGCCGCATGGAGATACGAGATTTCTCAAAAAAATAAGAATATTTCACTCGTTTGCTGTGCTCACTCGTGAAATCTTTTTCAATGCGAGAAGAGAAAGTGGGCATTTAATGTTCTATTTATTAAATAAACACCACTAAAATCCCAAGCCATTTTAATTTCGCTGGGCAAGGCGCAATTTATTACGTAATCATACCAACGATGATCCTTTCACATGTGAGGACAACATGTTATTTTCAGGTGTGAAGATATCACGTTTTCGCGCGAAAGTTCACCTGGTATTTCATTGGTTTTCATATAATAAAGGTCTCTATCTTTCTAGCTATCTATCTATCTGTCTGTTTATTTATCTGTCCATTTAATACATTTAGCCAAGCCGGGTTGTTCAAAGCTCGATTAAGCTAACCCAGGATAAGCGAGAATTTAGATTTGAGTTTTGTCACTTTGCGGTGAGGTTTTCTGTTTATGTTGTTTGGCCCTTTGTTTTGAGTTGAACAATCTGAAACTACACAAAACAAAAGCAGTAAAAACATTGTCTACAAGAAAAATGTATACTTTGGTTTTAATCCTGAGTTAGCGTCAACTGGCTTTCGAACAATCCAAACTTAAATATCATATCATCTAAACTTGAACCCGCGATATGGTCACGTGATACTGGTCAGCGGATTCCTTGTTTTGACAGGTGCCAATTGACCATAATACGGATGTCCCATATCAATGAAGTACGCTATAAACTAAGGCGGCTGCTGTCAAACTACAGTTACTCCGGTTACTCGAACTCTGAAGGGAAACGAAAAA